TGTTCAAGTCATCATGTTGTAAAAGATACAATCAAGTTTTGAGTTTTCTTTTTCTTTCCTCTCTCTCTCTCTCTTTTTTTTTTTTAAATTGATATTGAAAATGAAATGAAAAGAAAACAGGTAATACTATGACCTAACTCCTAATGGCCAAGGTATATTTTACACAATGCAAAAGAAGTCTTAATTAGTTTTATAACTTTAATAAAAACCATGCTAAAAATTAAGAGCAAAAGGAGTTAAATTATTGATTTTTAGCTAAACATTTGAAATGATAAATTAGTGTATTCTCTAGATTGTTATATAAATTATGCATTTTATTAGTTTTATTTCATTCAAGCTGGTTTGAATATATATTTAATACCATTAAAAAATAAAGTTTATCAACTAACTATTATGCCCCTAATTTTCAATAGAGCTCCTAAAAAAAAAAAAATCTTTCACCTCTGAAACTACGTGCTTTATCATTAAAAGAATATAGGTCATCCGTAAAAACAAATTCACAAAAAAAAAAAAAAGGAAAAAGGAAAGACATAAGTACGGTATCTATTTATTTTTTCGAATAAAAAAATCTTATTTGTATAATCAATTTCTTTTTTACTGAAAAAGAAAAAAATAGGGTAGATATTGTGGCTAAACATTGAGGATGATCTTTCCTTCCACGTAAAATGGTTGCTGCCTATGAAATTCTTTGTAAAAATAGATAATAATGGATAATTACATTATATGTATATCAATTTTTAATTTTTTTTCAATTGAGTATATAATTTTTTTTTACTTGAGTATATTAATTTTTTTAAAACTCGTTAATTAAGTACTTTTATTATTTTTTTTGTTAACCGATAACGTATTTGTTACCTTCAAAATATCAAATTATAATTTTATTTTTTTCAATCAAGTACATAAATTTTAATTTTTTTTCGTTTGAATACATCAATTTTTTTTAAACTATCAATCAAGTACTTTCATTAATTGTTTTTGTTAATTAATGGCATATTTGAATATAAAATTATAATTTACCTTTTTTCTATTGAAGAAAACTTTCTCCTCAAATTATTTTACTATTTTAAAATTTGACAAATAATTAAAAATATTATTTTTATCTATAAATTTTCAAAATGAACTCAATTAGTTTGCTCTTTAAAAAAATAAAAAATAAAAACTCAATTAGGTTTAAGAGTTAAAATTGAAAAAAAAAACATAAATGAATCTTGTTGATGAAAAATCTCAAATTTGTGTTTCCTTCAACTTTCATGCCCAAAATCTAACTGATTTTTTTTTTTTTTTAACAAAAAGTCCAAGTAAGTTTAGTTTGAGATTATATATATATATATATAACAATAAAATAATTTAAGAGAAAATTCCTTACAATAAAAGATAGAGGTATTCGGACATATCATCAATTAATGGAGAAATTGATGAAATATTTGATTGACAGTTTTGAATAAAATGAATATACTCTATATGAAAAAATTAAAGGTCATGAACTTCATTAAAAAATAGTAAAATTATAATTTAGTATTTTAAGAATAATGAGACATGTCATCAATTAAAAGATAAATTGATAAAATATTTGATTCATAGTTTTGAAAAACTTAATAAATTGAAATAAAAAAAAATTATATACTTGATTAAAAAAAATTGATGTACGAATAATGTAATTATCTAAAAGATCAATTATGATTAAGTGACAAACGACTGGTAACATAGGTACAAGCAGCACTTAGACATTTAAACAAGAAAAGCTGCGTGATCCAACTGATCAGCATAAAATCTAGTCCACGTACATAAAAACAAGCTAAAATGGCTAATTAATTCTTAACCACCACATCATTCTCTAATTTGACATGCCAACAACCTCATATTAATGCAATTAGTTAATGTCCTTTTTTTCTTTCCATATGCGGTATAATTTGCCATCATTATTTAAATTGATAGATTTTGTGGCCATTATTTATTGTGATTTCCTTAATTACTACTATTGATTATCATTTAATTAGCTCTCTGTCTCTAAATTCTCTAGCTGATTAATTAGACATTGTTTTGCATAATCTTTGGCACTACATCACACATGAGCAACTGAGCAAGGGACCACTCGAGGGTCTAAATATGTAAGACAATAGGAAGTCGTGGGCGATAAATATGTGCTTCTTCTTAAAAAGAAATAAATAAAGAATACTGCATGGCTGATAGCGATCATTAAACTTCCATGTTCAACAACGACATATTTGTCTTTTACGAAACATTAATTTCACGACGAACAAGTTCTCCATTTTAAACTGAAAAAAATATATATATCTAGATAAAATTGAATTTTTTCTTTTATAATTAATCTTTGCTATTGGACCCGAAGAATTACATCCATCTCCATTATGAATTTTTGAAGAAATTGACACCTGAAAAATACAACAGATGAATAAATAAGTGATATCATCGTATCAAAATAAAAAATAGATTTATATTTTTAACAACGATATATTATGGTAACATTAAATTTCACAATTGTTTTTACTTTATTTTTGGATTAAGACGAGAACAAAATAGATCACTGCAAAAGGGCCAAAGACCAGTACGTAAGGGCAAAAGCAAGCCTCCAGTCAAGCCTGCAGCTTACAAGGTGAGAAATACGCAAAACAAGACCAACATATATATATATATATATATATATATATATATATATATATATATATATATTGCAGGAAAAAAAAATCAGATTTCCAACCAGAAAATGACATCAGCCAATCTTGGAGGGTGCAATATTACGGTGAGCATAATTACCGTTAATCAAAAAATCGAATCGAATTATGTATTTTGATTTGATTTTAAACTTAAATTTGTAAAATTAAAGTCCGAATCAAAATTATTTTTGTTCGGTTTCATTTTTTAAAAAAATTGGTTTTCAGTGAAAACTGAAAACCAAGCCATTTATTGAAAGATTAGGGATTTATAAAAAATTTATTTCCTATATTTAGTTTAAGATTTAAATTATGGTATTTAAGGAGGAAGAATCCCTTTTATTAGCCCAAAATATATTAAAAAATGAAAAGCATGTGATTTTTAGCCCAACCAATATTTAGAATTTATCAATGAAAAAAAATTATTTTAGTTAAAACTAAATATTTACGAAACTGGATTGAAATAATTCGATTTCAAATTGAATTTATTGAAATTATTGTGCTTCGGTTTAGTTTTAGTTTTTCTTAATTCGATTAACCGAAAACCGAATCAAATTTGTATAAAACAAAACCGTTGCTCACCCTCGATATAATATCTTCAAAATATCCTATTAGGGGTGGCAGCTAGTCCCGAAAGTGTTGATCATTTCGACTATAGTTTATTATACAATTAAAGGATTAATGATACATATAATCACTCCAAGCATCTATGATTTCACCATTGATGTAAATATTTATATCTAAACAATTTGATTCATTCATCTTCGACTCAATCATTTTGTAGAAACTTTGATGTTTATTCATCCACCGCCAGAAATGGTAACATGATACATTTTTTGATTTTTCACAACATGCATCGATCGATATATGTCTAGTTCATCCAATAGCCAAAATTGGTCGGAAAAAAAACCATTATATTTTGTTTTCTTAGGGCTCAATCATGATCCGTTTATTAGCACCGAGTTTTTACCACATGCTAGAGTTAGTGGACAAGAAATGTATTTTTCTTCGTCTATTCTTGACTTTTGGGGTGTACGTACTAGATAATATCTAAGAGATTAATTAGAAGTTACTCGATCCACAAAAAGTTCGCTTTTGAAGTGATTAAATAATATAATCAATAGCATCATTTCATATATAAAAGAAAAATTTGTAATTGTTTTTTCTTAAAGTTGTGGCTTTCCACTCTATATATCTTGAAGGTTCTAGATGGCCATCCCTAAATGTTATCCATGTAGACCAAGATGCAGACCAAGATGTAACAGTACTTAAAGTCTTTTTGCTTTCTTTTTGCCTGAAAGAGACTTTTCAAACTCTTTCATTTCTCCGAGTGGATACATTCTATAAGCACAACAAAACTTTGTTTAAAGTGAACGATATATATTCCCTCGTCAAACTTCATTTTCACCTTTTGTATAATTTTTCCTTTTATCAATTGCTTCTACAGCACCAAATACCGGTTTCAAAGGGACATTTATTGTGGTGGCTTGAAAACGAGAGGAAAAAATAATTAAGAAGTTAACCAATAAGTTATTGATTAAGTAGTTAGTGAGTTGGTCTTCGTAAAATTTTTATCAATATATATAATTTAAATTTTGAAATTATACTCGTTGAGAAGAGAAAAATTTTATCGTTTTTGTTTTGAATAAATTAAATTTATTTTATTTTTAATGTAGAATAAAGATATTTGGATAAAAAAAAAGAGATGCAGAAGAACATTTGTCCAGGTTGCAACGAAAGTGGATATGCAATTAATATTAGAGATTTAGAGAAAGAGATGCCAATGTATAGCAATATAGCATATGACATTAAAATTCGAAAGTACTTGTGTTAGTGGTGGCATAGAATAGATGAAAGAATCGAATTGCTACTCTTCCGAATCAATTCCAATCTACGAGAGGTGGGTTCGAACTTGGAACGCACGAATTAAGGATATGCAGTCCATGCCATATTAGTGATAATGCAATATTTACAAATTTCAGTTTTTTTCATATTGGCAACCATATTTATTCATTTCATAAAAAAAATGAAGGGGGAGAAGGTAATTGGTTGCTTAATTTTCACGATCTCAATAATAAGTGACAATATTCAATCTAACATATCCTAAAAAACCTTGAATAATTTTACCAATTAATCTATAGAAGAAAAAAAAGAAGAAGCTATTTTCACCACTCGACATAGCTAGCAAACGCTATAAAAGACGGTGTTGAAATCATAAAAAGGCCAATCATGCTGCGTAACATTCGTTTCGTAAATAAATTTTATTCTTAATTTCAATACAAATTATATGCTTTGCGATAGGTTGATGAAGTTTTTAGTTTGCAGCAGTCACCTGTGCATGGTTGCTGTGCGATTAGTAATGGGCATCACCATTGCGACAACAATGACGTACGCTTTAAGAAAATTAATTAAAAAATCACTTAATTTTCTTAACATTGCAGATTATTATTAAAAATCACTCAATTTCTATTATATATTTTAAAAAATTTATAACTTATAATTCTACAATATCGGGCTTATATAATTAAATACTGGCTTTAGATTAATATATATGTAGCAGTATTTGAATTTAAATATCTGCACGTGATATATATATCCATGATTTTGTATACAAAACATTGTATTCTCTTTTCTCACATAAAAATAAAAATTCATAAATAACTTAATACTGATTTTTTTATTAGATGTCACGCACATATTCCCTCCGCGTCACCGCAAAATTAAACGCGTAAATGTGGCCCATGCCTTTGATATGGAGAAGAGAAGATAAAACAGAGTAGCGGTATTAGTAGAATCCACGATACCGCAAAATTAAAAGTTGGTGTAAAATTCAAAGCGTCCGACATTGATATTCATGCATCTATAGATTATAAGCCTTCTAATACTTATTGGTGAAAAATACATGATCCATGAGTCCATGTCCCATAAGTTTCGTGTAATTCTCATTTCCCTCGAATTAATGAAACTTATTTTGCCTTAATCTATTGATGATGTTACATTACATATGAAGGCCAAATCCATTTACGTACCGGATTATGTGTTTTTTTTTTTTTGTATTTTTTTATACTTACAAATAATGAAATATTTTTAAATAATTTTCGATTTAATTAAAATAAAATTTATAATTTTTGAATTAAATCAGAATCAAAATACATTTGGCATTTGGTTGATTATTGGATTGTTTTTTAGTCAAAATCATTTCAAATTTAGCATTACTAAAGAATAATAAAGATTTTTGGTTTTTTTTAATGAATAATGAAGATTAAATTTTATTTTTAACTAGATCAAAACAATTCTCTGACAACGAGATTGAATTTTTTTGATGCCAACCTAACTAAATCTGGATTTAAAAAAAAGAGTAACATCAACATCTAAAGAAGCAGAACATTGAAACGATGGGTCATAAAATAAACTTTGCTTTACATTTAATTTATCCAAAACTATAGTCAAATATAGGCCCCTCCCTCCACCATGTCTAAATCTCAACTTATTGGTGCGACAGGCAAGTTGGTTCTACTATTGACCAACAAAGATGTGAGCATGGATCAAGGTGCTTTCACATTCGTGCTCATAATGTATTTATGATCTTTACCAAATAAATTCTTAGAATGGACTCTCAGACGTCCAGTCTCCCTTTTCCTAAACAATCGGGGTTGGAGAGACATTGGTCAAGGTTTTAGGGCATTGCAATTTTCATAGATGTAATCATATTCTTTGATTCTTTTCTTTGAAAAAGATAGGCTACTATGATTACTAATAACATGTTCTTCTAGTCATGTTCATTGCTCCATTAGAAGCTACTTGCTTGTTTTAAGCCAATGCCTAAGATTATAACATTTGTCATGTCAATTGTCAACTTCACGATCATCTCCTACCGTCTCACATAAATTGGGAGTTCGACCGTGAAAGGTCTGGTCCTACGAAGACTCATCATTTAGGTTTTGAATCTTCGCGTTTTTGCCGCCCATTGTATATGTGTGGTTCGTCCACACTCGTGCTTTTCTTTTTCTAATATATATATATACATTTTTTTTTTGCTACGAAATGAGGTTCCTGTTTTTAATGGACGAAGAGAGCATGCTAAATGTTAGTCTTCCATCTAGAAAATTTGAACCTATGAGCAAAGAAAAGGAATGACTGATACAAAAGCTAAATAAAAAGGAAAAAAAAGAAGGTAATATTAGCTTTGGGGAAGTGAACTTTGGTTCGGAAATCAATCAATTCAAATGGTCTGATCAGTAACCACTCTTTTTTGCTAAAAAGTCTAAAGTGTAAAAAATTCATCTACCAGATAAACTATTAGATTACCAAATAATTATTAAAAAAAAAACTGAGAGAAGTCGGTGACAAAACTAGTAGAGAGCGAAGGAGGGAGAGAGAGCAAATAGAACAAGGCTACAATTGGTCAATGGCATTAAACAGAAAATTTCAAGTTAGGATCAGTCCAACACGAATCCAAACTCCAACTAGACCGTAAAAAGTTAGTGGGCTTTTCTGTTTTCCATTCAACCCTACCCCTACAATTTCAACCAAACCTCAAATAATTTTGAACCAACTACAAACCTCCATACACTTTTAGTTCAAAGAGTATGGAGGTTTGAAGTTCAAAGTTCCCTAGTGGCTTGGCCATACACTGTTAGTACCCGAAAGTTGTCGGTTGAAGGATTTAGTACCAAATCAATAATTACATCACGAGAATTGAGTTTTGTTTTGTTTTGTTTTTGTTTTTGTTTTTTTTTTCTTTATGTGTGTGTGTGTAATTTTTTAAAAGAGTAGAGTCGAGTAAATTTGATTAGGGAAACAAAGTTACATGAGAATCAAGTGAAATAAGAGATGATATCACCAGCCAATAAGATCGTATGGCTTGAAGAACAGAATAATACAGTAACTAGTAGGCCTCGCTAACAGGACCTGGCTTCTTACAATCATCAACCATAAACCAAAAACAGCACCCTTGCATTGGGAGGCAAAATGAAAGTTTGGGATAGAAAGGATGAAAGAACTCAACCTGCAACTCTTCCAAGTTCAATTCCACTTGAGGTTGGTTGAAATTCTTGTCCAATTTGCTACTCTTGCACCCATGTCCTATAAGGTTCCTGTGATTTTCGTTTTAGGTTAATTATGGACTTAATCACACACAAATTTAACTTGTAAGAATAAAATGCACAACCAACAAATAGTCTCGTCAGTGACCAGGCGTTTCTGCTGCTAAAACGCGGTCTCAAATTCAAATTCATCTCTCGGAAAAACTATTAAATTATCAAATAATTAAAGCAAAAAAAATAACTAGACCCTCATGAGCTGCTCAATCAATTCTCATAACGTTCAAATCAGTTCATGGCCTATTCTCTTTTTTCTTCAACCCAAAGCCCACATATTTTGGAACTGCAAGTACAACCTCTCATGATCAAAGTTATTCAGTATCTTGATCGCAGTCGTACTATGACTACTATCGATGCCTAAAAGTTGAACAGTTTAGTTGGGACCGAAAGATTACGTCATTAGAATGGTCATGGAAATAGTTCACCAGCATCGGCATTTTCGCCTGAAGGCTGTTTCTTCTTCAAGGCCTCAGTTGTAGAAACAAACAAGAGAACAAGTAATTCCATTACAAACCTACACTTGAATTCAAATTGCTTAATGAAGAGCAGCCCGTTCTAACGAGACAAGGCATCATCAGCCTCAAAATTTTATAGAATACATGCTATGCATAACCTTATCGCATCAAACGAAACAAAAATTGTCAATAACAAGCATGAATATCAACAATGTCCATTGTGCTACCCTTCGCGTCCCTGTCTACATTAGTCTCGCCTTTCCTTTTTATTTCTCTGTAGCAAAATAAGTGGAGATCACAAGCCTAACTAATTTCTACTATGTACACTTCCAGGGAGTGATTGTTACACGGTTTTGAGTGTGGACCAGACCAGTGAAATTATCTGGATGCACTGCACTAACCAATTGTAACCAATCTTCTGCACCCATCAATGCGATTAGTTGGGTCTACATGGACCGAGTATCTGAGCCTGTAACAATTTATCACACTTACAGCAATTCCCTAAAGCCAAGTCCACTTGGCTACTGAATCTTATGAATTTGTGGATGTGGTACCAATAGAATATTCGTGGTTCTTACACAAGCAAGAACCTTAGGGTGATAGTACAGAAAAATAGGTGGTGTTTGTCAGGCCACGTTGATGCATGTCAAGGAGGGAGTAGGACTGCACCAAAAATTGTCCAGCTCACTTTGTTACCACAGTTCAACTGTTGAATTCTGAATAACTCCCTCAGGATACAGGAGGAAAAAACCGAAGGTTGGTATCCATGGGTACAGCTCACTTTTTACCAAAGGTTTGGATCATCCACCACACGCAACAATATTATAGAACCCAAGGTGCGTATTAAAGCTCATCACGGTAAGAAGCAGGCGATTTCCCTGTCACAGATACATAAATGACGAATTATGTAATTTAGTGATTCTAACGACACCAGGAAAAGAAAATGAAAATGCAGTTTGCACTTAATGAAGCAAGGAAGCATAGATTCTGAGGTCAGATGGGTGACAGGGTGTAGGATCTTCCATAATGTAACTAATTAATGCCTTATTCCAGTTAGTATTTCAGGGTGAAATACCCAGAACCTCGATTAATGCATTGATGTTTGTGTGTGTGTGTGTGTGTGTGTCAAGTGATTAATGCAATTCACAAGTGTTAGGCAGATTATGCAGTACTTACCTGCTACAGAAGTGGTCATGAGCAATAAATATTTCTTCCCAAACTATCACCTCAGATACTTAATTGTCTGTATTTGAATGTTGCTCTTCCACAATAACCCTCATGCTAGGCTCCAATCAACATAGTACCTAAGCACACATGAGGAAGCAGCAAAACATATCCGTAAGTTTTGTCTTGTCTACAGAACATTATCATAACTAAACAATTCTAAAATTCATGATAAACAAGCTCTTTCAGGTTAAACATTAAGAAGTCTCCATCATATATTGAAGCATAACCACTGAATTGAGAGGTAAGGCATAGTTCCTTCTCACATCCCTCTACCTGGGGACGCGCAACCTTTTTTCTCTTTTCCAGAAGGTACAACTTAAATCATGGTCAATTATACCTCAAACAGTTTTCAACTCCAAAATTCGTTTACACAAGTCCTCCCCATTACATTCAAACAAACAGGCCAACAATATCATTAGAAAGTAGGGAAGCCATCACATATACCTGAATTATTTTTTGTTGCAATCATCATATTCTCCATGCCTTGAGCAGCTTCAACCATTCCTTGTGCATTGTAGGCTTGGATCATGGTAGCAAAGGTCACACTGTCAGGCTTGCATTTTCTCTCTTTCATTTCCAGAAACAACTTAGACATCTTTTCCACATCACCTGTTCGACCATAGGCACTGATGGCGCAGTTGAAGAAAGGCGTATCTAGTATCACATCAGAGTTCTCCACCTGCCTCAGAATTGAATCAACCTTCATTGTATGCCCAGCTTTACTGTAAGCACTAACAAGAGAACAGTATGTAACAGTGTTAGGCTTAATTCCCAGATGTTTCATTTTGCGGAAGTACTCTTCCATAGTCTCAGTATCACCAGCCTTTCCAAATGTCTCAATGATGATATTATGAGTAACAATTGATGGAGAAAAGAACCTTTTCTCCATGAATTCCAAAACAGACCTTATCTTTCCATACATGCCTGCTTTCCCGTATGATCTGATCAGTATATTAAACGTCTTAATATCTGGCATTAGTCCCATTAACTGAAATTCATTATACCACTTCTCCATCTTGTCTATCAGCCCACTGCTCCCATAAGCCCCAATGATGGAATTAAATGTGAAAAGATCTGGAACAGAGCTGCCACTTTCAATCATATCTGTCAATGCGTTCTCCATCTCTTCAAGCATTTTAGCCTTACCATATCCATCGATAATAGTGTTGTATGTGACAGTGCTGCATTCAATTCCCAGATATGACATCTCAGCAAAAATTCCTTGAATGAGTTCAAAACGATGAAGTTTAATGCAACAGTTCATGAGTGTAGAATATGTATACACATCTGGTTTGCATTCAGGGATTGCTTTCATTTCAACAACAATAGAAAACGCCTTGTCAAGTTGACCACTTTTGCCATAAGCACTTACAAGAGCGGTATAAACATCGATTGTAGGTCTGAGGCCATCGGACAGCATGACCTCAAAAAGCAAACTGGCCTCCTCAGGTTGCCTGCACTTGCCAAGCATCATCACCAACTTGGTGTATGTTTTGGTTCTCGGCTCATACCAGTGTTGCTTACGAAGAAGTTCAAAAATCTGAAAAAACAGACACGGACTTTATTTTAGAATTTATGCATGTGTTCTAAATAACGATGTCACTAATCATCAAGAAATACCACCAGGTTTCAAGAAATTGCCAAATGCATCACTTGAATTTAACAACCAATCGTAATGATGCTTAATCACTTTCTTGATAGGCTAATGCACTTGTGTAGCCATATCATTAATCTAAAGTTCGTTCAAAGAAACAAAACCACACATTAACCACCATCAACATATCTCAAATGAAACATAATACAGCAGGCCTTAAACCAAATTCGCATACTATATAACATGAAAATAACTAACAAGCATGAAATATCACAAAACTTCACAAGAAAAAAGAGAAGATAAGAAAACCCACAAACCTTAAGAGCAGATTCCCATTGGTTTTCTTTTATAGCCTCATCAAGAGCTTCTAAAACAGCTTTAGGCCAAAGGTTATTGTGTTTCTTGGAATTAGCTTTTTGTTCAATAGCGTTTATAGCAGCTTCGGTTCTTAGAATCCTAGACAACTCCTGCTTGGGCTGTCTTTGAAGCCCAGTTGAAGTCGGGTCGGGGCTCCACTTAGACGATTGGATAGTAAGAGATTGTGGGTTTTGGTTTCCATTGGATCCTGCTAAGAGTTTTTTTGAGGGCGGGGAGGAGACTGAGAGTGACCAGCTCATGTTAGTGGAGAAAAGAGACCGTGGCTGCATTGCGCCAGGTGTGGAGTTCAAGGAATTTGAGGCTTTAAGAGGTCTGGGTTACAGGTTAGGGACAGCTTGGGTTTTGAATTTTGATGGAGGTGTTTTTAACGGAGGATAAGATAGCAGCGAGCGCGTTTTAGCAGAGATTAATATGCACGTGATAGTTTGCACTTTAGCTGGGGTTGCATATGTGAAGTACAGGTCGGGGATGTTCTTTAGTAAATCATGGATTTAGTGATAAATTTTGTCCCTGATGTATTACGATTTAACAATTTTAAGCCATGGTATCAAATTACATATTGAATCTCAAAATAATTGAGATTGGTCAAATATAATCTAAATTATCTAATCTCTATTATGTGTAACGATCAATTAGATTCATCGTTAATTGAAATGTCAAAACAACGTCATTTCGACATTCCAGTTATAATTATATTTTCTAAAAAATATATATTTTAAAAATATTTTTAATCTCCTTAATCTTGATTTTTATAAAAAAAAACTTTTTTCTTATAAATTATATAAAAAATATTTTATAAATATTTTAACCTTCTAATTTTAAACTTTTTTTATAAAAATGTTATTATAAAAAAAACATAATTAACAATATACAATTCCAGATCTTAAAAAAGCATTTTATAAGTTAAAATAAGTATAATTAAAGGTTGACCCCTAATTTTATAAATTATATATAAAAACATTTTCTTATAAAATATTTATAATATTTTATGAAAAAAGGTTGTTAAAAATATTTATAAAATTTTTTATGGAATTTATAAAATGATTATAATATTTTTATAAGAAAAAATTTTTTAAAAAAGTTCAAGATTAGGAGGTTAAAAATATTTTTAAAATTTTTTATATATATAATTAATAGCATTTTACATTTCAAATAACAATCAATTAGATTGATCATTACACATAATGGAGGATTGGATAATTTGAAACAAGTTTGTTGAATCTCTAATACTTTGGAGTTCAAATTACACGATTTGATATTATAAATTTGAAATTATCGGATCATAATAAAATGAAGGTAAAATTTATAATTAAACTGTAAATCATGGCATCACATTTTGTTGTGTGATTTTAAGTATAGTTGACAGAAATAAATAATAAGTTTTAACATATGCAGGATTTACTTTTTATTTTTTGGGTGCTGTTTAACATATGTAGGTTCAGGCTGAATTTGTTCGAATTTGAATGATTTTAATTTTTTTTTTCAATTATAATCTATAAGAGAAGAACTATTTTTTATTATTTTTTAACCCAATATCCTTTAGATCTTCTGATAAAAAAAATAAATTAAACTTCAGTAAAATTTTGTTAGATAACATGCAAACCATTGATTTGTAGATGATCTGTCGAGAAGCTTTTATCCAAATATTAGAAGGGTAATTTACTATCATCTTGTTGGTTCTGTCAACTAGAATTATATATCTATCTAATCTTAATTTTCACAAATAAAAATTTTCAAGAACGCTACATTATATCCCTTTTAAAGACTAGTCGATTATGTGGAGACAAATATGAAGTTTTCTTTTTGTTGAGTGTTTTTATATGAAGTAGTAATTCATCCACACATATGATCAAAGATTGATAGTACAAAAACCACCAAAGAAAGAAAAGTAGTTCAAGGAAAGAGGAGGATTCAGAACTACTGAAAGACAATAGATATTGTAGTTTAAATTCCAATAAATTATACGTTAGCTTTTATAACTTCCATCTATTCGCGTACCAAATAGTTGGCTACTTTTTCGTAAGTAAATTTGATCCAACCACGGTAAATAATTATAACCCTGCACTAAATAGAATGCTTCCCATTTGTTGCAAAACGTTAGTAACAGTAATAGGTTTTTAAGTCATCCATTCATAGTCCGCAACTCCTTTTGAATGCCCAGCTTTAACCTTGCTCAATAGTTTTGGACAAACCATAGCATTGAAGTGATGAAAAAATTAAGTAAGAAAACGCATTTAGGCACGGTTTTACTAGGTACTCACAAAACAAGCACCATCATGGTTAGGCGTAGGCATGCCACCTCTCTGCGGCCATGATCCATGAATGCTAAACGATTCTTTCACAGCTCTATGTTTAACTATACTGGGATGAGCCTTACAAAACGATGGAGGCCATTGAATCACCAGACAATTAGAATCTAGCTGGGGAAGGAGCTTATATAAGCTAATAAATATTTGAGTTGGTGGATCAAAGATTTGATTTGATTTGATACAAATTGCACAGCAATTATGAAGTATTAGAAACTAAACTAGTTTTCAAAAAGTTGGAGGCTATTGAATCAGGCTTCACGGGCTTTGAATTTCAAAAAACCAAGTTGAAACATCACCAACACTACAGGACTTTCATCATGTAATTACAAACTCGCTACCTCCCTTGAATGTCTTGAAAGGGTTTATATAGGCTACGATATATTTGTGTGGGTAAATCACAGATTTGATGTGATGCAACCATTTACAAATAATTTATCTCTCGTGTTCAAAAGAAGAGATAATTGGCGTGACTTTCCAAACTAACTAGTGTCCTGAATTTTTTCCTTCTAAATAATGTTTGCTTGAAGGCTAATAGTTGCCCTGCCCTCCATACTTGGAATGGATATTTAGCCTCCAAATTAACCAATTAATAATTAACCTTCTAAAAAAAATATCAAACAATCTTAGACTTTAATTTTGTGAAAAATAACCCTCGACCAAACACCCATCTCAACTCACACTCTAAGCGTGCTTGATGAGTGGCCTATAAAGAAATTTATCCCTTCCAATTCGTGACGAATTCACATAAGCTTGCTTGATGAGTGGCCTAGAAAATGAAATTTTTTGATGAAGCTGCCCCATTGCTCAGCCTAACTATCTTTATGGTGTCTTGCATTTCTCAAGACCAATGTTATAACTTACAGTACGGCTATCGATGATTGCTGAACCAAAAAGTTTTGCAGGTTTGAGTGTTGGGCCAAAGGTCCATGATTTGGAATTTATACACGATCGTCATTTGCATTTCTTAGGTAGAAATCGGCTAGAAGAGTGGGCTGGAATTTTTAGCCAACGCCAAAAAAGCCCATTTATCAATTTTTAGACTAACATTTTCAGTGGCAGCTCGAAAGTAATAATTCCAGTTCCTGGTGTTCAATGCAACAAATCCAAGAAGATGCTTGCCAACACGCGCGCAACGCGTGTGAATATCGAGTAAAAAGAAATGTCGTGTTTTTGCTAAAAACGGCGTTGAATCGAATGACAAATAAACATTGTGGTTCTACGGGCAGTGACAAAATGTCATGATTTAAAATATGGATCACGGCTGCTGTTAAATTAAGAAAGGGACATGCTAATATGTTCGCCAAATGGACCAACTTTTTTCTATGTTGCCAATTGAATATTTGTTTCTTTATTTTTGCTGTTTGCTTGTCTTTACTTTCCTTGTCATCATTATTACTATTATTATAGTTTTTTTTTTAAAAAAAAAAGGCGTACTTGGAATAGCATCATAACTATTAAATCTATAATCAACATTGAAGGGCTGAATAAAATTACAAAAAATACATCATCAACTTATAAGATGCCGAAATATTTGACCAGTCAGGTAAAGAAACAAAATTATTATGAGCCTGTAAAATTTAGCGATTTGAAAAGGCAACTTTAAAGTCGTTTGTAAAATATCATAATTTTTATGTAGACTTTTGATTTTTTTTTTTTTTTAAGAGTATTGTTAGAGAATCCCATATCAAATACATAAATAGAAGAAGAGTGAATATAGATTTGGAAATGGATCATTGACCTCAAGAATTAAATCTTTTAACGAAACCTGGATACCACATGTTAATAGGATAAAATGACAAATATACTTTAAGAAATAAACAGAAAAGTTAATACATTTACATGTCCTTATATAATACGTCAATTTTTCAATTTGTTTTTAAGTTTTAAAACGTCTTTCAATAGATATTTGTTATTTGAATTAGTTTTCGATCTATTATTTCGGATAATTTTTTCAATCAGATCATTTGAAAATGTCACATAATATGCATATAACTTTTTCTTTAACAAAAATGCTTTTTGTAGTTAATATGTTAAGTTTTCAATCTGTCTTTATATAATTAGTTAAGTTTTTAATTTATTTTTAATGCTAAAAGGTCCATTATATTATTGTTAATCATTTTTTACACTATAATGATTTTTTTATTAATTAAAAATAAATAAAAATAATTAATACAGATTAGTACGTAAATATTTGAGGAATTAAAAAGCAAATGATTACATTTAAGTAATTGTTAGTTAGTATCGTAAGCATGTAATTAAAAAATAATTATATTTAAGTAATTATTAATTAGTCTCTTAAGCATATAAATATTTTAAGTAATTTTCAATTAGTTCTTATGCATGAAATTAAAAAGCAAGTAATTATATTAAGCATGTAACAATTTTCCTTCGACTGCGACCAGATGTAAGGAGTGTTGCTAGGGAAAAAAATGGCTGAAATATCATTGGCTTAATAAAGTAGTTTAATTTCAATTCTCTTCCCTTCCCTTCGCTTCCATGTTGGATATGACAGGGCTTATAGGCTATAGCCATGTGTAGATGCCTTTTCTGCATATGATCAATCATATTGACAAAATTATATCCTTACCCGTGCTACGCCGTGGATTAGATAAAACTAATAAAATAAATTTAAAAAATTATTATAGTTCGTAGAATATGATATGTCACGAATGTATTAAAATATATTAAATTGAAAGAAACAAAATCATCTAATTTTATATTTTTAATAAAATTTTTGTATTTTTTTCTTTTTAATATCTTTCATGTTATTTGTTGTCAAAAAACACCATTTGTTCTTTGTTATTTATCAATCCTTAAATAAAAACCTATGAAAATATAAATTGAAAACTAAAAAGAAAAACATCTTAATATTTATTTTTATAAGATTGCATCGAATAAAAAAATAAAAATCAATATAAAAACTTGTATCAAAATTAACAAATGAATTTTTTTATGGTTTTGAAAATATATACATTTGGTTTATATATTTTTATTTAAAAAATAATAAATAATATTAGTATAAAAAGATGCATCTCAATCATTAGACGATTCTTTTAAAAAATTATTTTAAATTATTTATTTTAAAGAAATTAATTTTAGAACATTTGAAAAAAAAATTAAATGCAAACTATTGATGTAATGTATGTAGATGCACAAATAATATTTAATAAAACCAATGATATTAATGTTTTTATATATCATAACTATATTTAATGGGTCAAAGTGTATAGTATAAATTACAAAGCTTTTTAAAAAATAATCTGTAAGAAATATATTGAAGTTAATGAAATGCAATAAAAATAACTATAAAATTTATTCCAATAAAATTTTATTGAACAGAAAAAAACATAAAACACATGAATTCTATTATTTAATTGATTTATTTTAAAGAAATTAATATTAGAATATTTGAAAAAAATAAATGCAAATTATTGGTTTTATGCATGTAGATGCATAAATAATTTTTAATAAAACCAACTATTTTAATTTTTTAATCATCATGATCCTATTCGATGGATTAAAGTGTGAAGCATGTATTACAAAGTATTAAAAAAAATTAATTTGTAAAAAATATAGTGAAACACAATAAAAATAACTACAAAATATAAAGGATGTAAATATTTACAAAAAGATCTAAGATATTTCGATAATAAACTTCAAGAAGAAGTCTAAATGCTTGAGAAAAATCAAGAGACTTTGATAAATTATGTCAAAACATGATTGAAAAGAAACATTTATTGATAATATTTTTGCATATAATGTTACAATTGACATTTTGAATGAAAATAAGGATATTGAGCTAAAATTTATTGAAGAATATCGACATGAAAATGATTGGCCTAAATGAAAAGAATAATCCGGACGTAATTACATTCTCTTATAAACGAGTAGTTTTTGAACTCACAGTAAAAAAACTTGAAGATGTTAAGCTAGTGGGATACAAATGGATATTTTGCGGAAAAAAAAATGAGATTGTGAGATATAAAGCAAGACTTGTAACACAAGAGCTTTGGCAAAGACCTAGCATTGACTATAAAGAGACATATTCTTTAGTAATTGACGCAATTATACTTCCTTATCTCATTAGCCTAGCAAAATATATGAAAGACTTTATATGCATGTATTTAATGGATGTGATCACAGACTTATTTGTTCACTCGAAAATGATATTTATAAGAAAGTCCGAAAAGAACTTAAGATACCTAAAGGATATAATATATATTTCTGAAAAATATATTCAATTAAATTATAGAGATATATATGAGAATTATTTTAGTATTTTTTTATTACTTTATATTTTTAAAATTTTGATTTATGATATACTTTTTATATTTTATTTTTCAATATCTAATCTTTATTACTAATCTAGATGGATGTGGTATAATCACCTTGATGAATATTTGTTAAAATAAGATTATAAAAATAATCACATTTGTTCATGTCTTTTAATAGAGAAATTCAAAATTGAGTTTGTAATAATTATTGTATTTATTGATAATTTAAATATTATTGAAACTCCCGAAGAGATTTTAAGTGTCGTAAGTCATCTAAAAAGAGAATTTCATACTAATATGCCGAGAAAACAAACTTTTGTTTCAACTTACAATTCGAGCACTTAGAGAATGAGATTTTTATTTATCAGTCAATTTATATATATAATTTTTATAATGATTCTATATAAAGCTCATCAATTGACTAGCCTAATAGTAGCTCATTCACTTTATATTCAAAAAGGCCATTTTCGATCTTGATGAGATAACGAATAACCACTTAGTCTTGAAATACCATATGTTAGAGCAATTAGTGCATTGATATATCTTACTAATAGTACTCGACTCGATATAATGTTTTCTATAAATTTATTAGTAAGACATAGTTTTGCTCAAATACGAAAACATTGAAATGAAATTAAACATTTTCTCGCATTATATTTGAGAAAAATTGATATGGTATTTATTTTACTTAAATAAATCAAATTTAGGTTTAATTATTCGGATGCGAGTTATTTATTCGATTTATAAAAAAATTGTTCATAAACGGGTCATGTACTTAGCCATGATTATATAGCTATATTGCGATGTTGTATAAAGCAAAATATAGTCGTAACATATTCAAATCATGTAGTTTATCTATCGGTAAAAAAAAATCAATAATATTATATGAAGATAATATTGCTTGTATAATTTAATTAAATGAAGAATACATCAAAGTGACAAACCAGCGAACTTATTCATTAAGGCATTATGTACAACTTTTGAGAAAATGGTTCACAAGATCGAGATGCGTCGTCTTAAAGATTTTAAATGATGCTTTCAACACGAGGAGTACAAGATAGAAAATAATGTTTACAAGAAATATTGTATTTTTTTCCTTCACTCGGGATTTTTTTCCATTAGGTTTTTTTTTTCTAGTAAGGTTTTAACGAGACATTTTCCTTATACAATGGACATTCAAGGAGGAGTCTTTATAAAATAATGAATGTCCGTTTCATATTTTCGCTACTCATGTGATTCAATTCACCATTCAATATGAGAAATTGAAGGAGTTATGCGAGTTGATTTTATTATTTATGTACTTTTTAATGGTTCATTGTCTCTTCTAATTCTCTTCTTAACCTTGAAGCTTATAAATAGACTTGATTGTTTCTTAGTTTGAGTAGATGTGTTTT